CAGCAAGGGATTAAAAGAACGGCAATTTTTAGAGGGTTTGGGGTTTTTTTTCCAAATACCGTTAACTGCTGAAGATGACATAGCATTTAGAAAGATTATTTCCTCAGCTAATTTGCTATTCTCTGCAGGAGGAGGACCATCTTTCAATTACTAGTTTGAAGCACTTTGCTGCAGTATGTGGTTATCTCAGTACCATCAGCACATTAAGCCTTTCTGGGGCTCATTCTGTTCTCTGACTTCCCTGAAGCCAGCATACAAAGCATTAGGTTCTCCATTAGGCACAGACCTAAAGCCAGGGGAAAAGCACTCTCTGGCAGTCCTTGTTTCAGTATCTCTCAGAGGCAATTCTGTAAATTTGTTTTTAAAACTCTTAGAGCTTCTTTCTTGACATATTCCCTTGATTTAGCTTCTCACAGTCATTCCACTTCACTGTAACAGTCTGAAGCATGTAAGATTACTTGAAAAATACCTGATTTAAGTACCTTCCTCAGTACACAGCATTCCATGTCAGATAATTACTGAGGAAGTACTTTCTGAATGTTTAGTTCTCTATTTGATTGACTTTAACATCTTGATAACTGCTCTGATAATCAGTATGAAGCTACACCACTGAAACCTTAAACTTTTGATTTGTTTTCTTGAATAAAGTATACAAAATTTTATACTGACTGATCAGTAACTCTTCTTCACCTGGGTGGTTTGCCTGTACCTGAAAAAGTCTAATCCCAAGAGATTAATAACATAATACAGTAGGGAAAAGACAATGTTTGTAAAGCATGACATTTTTTGTACAAAATTGTTTAAAGTTAAGTAAAGTTCTTAAATAACTCAATAAGCATGAACAGAAGGACAGCAAGTATTATATTTGGATCTTCCAAAACATTACTGAAAAATTTCCTACAGGCCAATAAAGAAACAAAATCACCCAAGAAAAAGGGGTGTCTTCCCTGCATGACATACCACACAATTAAAAGTTCAGGAAGAAAATGAAAGGGAACAAGTTATCCGTTTTTCAGTGAAGAATAATCATGAAGGATTCTCCAAAAGAATATGTGCTGAGATATGTGCTGTTTCTCATATACATAAATAATAAATAATATTACTTCTAGTAGGAAAGGCAGGGAAATAATGAGGTGGGGAAAACTGCAGAAAATACCAGATTATTTAGGAGAGTCAAATCTGTAACTGGCTACAAGAACTGCAGAAAGGACTCATGGCAGTGAGGGACTAGGAAATAAATCAGTAAATGGAACTGAAGGCCAAGAAGCGTAAACTAGGGAAAATGTGAGAAAACAACCAGTCCTCACTTTTAACTGTACTGCGGCGCTGTGCACTGTCAGATGAGCTTTAAAAAAGGTATTACTAAGCAGCAAAAACATCATGAATTCACATTACACGATACTCTGAAAGCATCAGAAAAATGCCTTCTAACAAGAGTCAGCAGGATAGCAAGAACCCTTAAGAAAATGGAACAAGAAAAAAAAAAAAGAGAAGACAATTGTACTACTGTCAGTCTTTTATGCTGTTATGACTTAAACCTGACAGGCGTTCTGGGCTCCCCAGCTTTCAAACAGTTAAATAAAATCTTCAGAGAAAGGGCACAAGGATGAGCAGAGTGATAGACTTAAGCTCACGTATGAAGAGGCAATAGAAAACTTTAGCTTAAAAATGTCTGAAAGAAAACAAGAAGAATATGGTACTACTTAATTAAAGTCCAGAGACAAAGTGAAATAAAAATATTCACTCAGGTAGAATCATCAGAGAACACACATTGAAATTCTCAGGCAATTTAAAGCAAACAAAGAGGAATATTGTCACTGTCAAACAAAGCACATGACAAAACTGTAAAACTCACTGTCTCAGGGATTTTGTTGAAGCCAAAGCATAAAAAAACCCCAAGCACATGTCACAGCTGAATGTATGGAAGATGGTTCTAGCTAAATGTTAGTTCAGCTATACATTTTGATCTAAGCTTTCAACACCTGATCAGCCTGTGTATTCTACTGTTTAGTCTCCCACTAGACATGATAGAATGGTTTAGAAGAATCTTTGATCTCATCTAGTCTCACCTATTGTCGCTTTATTACTAGACTTACGAAAAAAAAAAAGGAGAAAAACCTGAAGAACTGAACCATAAATGTGAAAAAATGTCAGTATGGCATTTCCTATATCCCATCATGTATTGCCTTCAAAAATTTTGCCTCCTTGGTTTTACATAGATTATATGTAACAACTTTAAAGATTGATACTGAAAATTACTGAGGGTGTTTTACAAGCTATGAAAGCAAAATCCATTGTTTTCTAAGAAGGAACAGTCTAGTTGAGGCTTTATTATTAATATATAATACACAGAGAATTTTCCTCTCAACAACTGATGAAAGTACACAATACAAGGACTTAGAAAATAAAAAACCAGCATGCCCTTTGTGCAGCACAGTCTGAGGCTATAATTTCCTCCATGTGGATAAATAGCCTTGATTAATGTTGTGGCTGGATCCAGACCCAAATGAATGACAAAGCACTTCCTGTAATAGGTTCCCCTGCATGGTCTGGAGCAAATGTAACTGTTCTTCTGGAGAAAATTTTCCTTTACCCATGCTGAGTAGCAGCCATGTAGTCAGAGCACCGTAATCTGTTTAACCTAACAAGAATACCTGTGAGAAAATTTTCCTTTACTCATGCTGAGTAGCAGCCATGTAGTCAGAGCACTGTTTAACCTAACAAGGTTAGGTTTCTGTTTAACCTAACAAGAATACCTGCGGTGTGAAATGCCAGCACTGTGACATTGGCATCAACAGGCCTCTCAGACACAACTGCAGGCCTTTTAGCATCTTCCACAGATATGGCTGCAGTAGCACAACACACAGCAGCTCCTTCCTCCTTAGTCATTCACCCATTCCCCTGTACAGCTTTACCTTACATCAGTCTCAAAGCAAAGACTGCTCATTGCTTTGCCTCAACTCAGCCTATGGCTAACAGCTGAGAGACTCCCCACAAAAGGCCTGACCAAGCTGAAAGGAAAACACACCATCAGCCTCTCCTGTAGCAGAATGCAGATCTTGAATTTTTCTGGGTTACCCCTTTCAGGTCACTCTAGTACAGAGTAAACTGGCAAATTGAAGACAACCTGTAAGATTTATGGATCTGTTTGGAACTGAACACACCAGTGCTGAGATGCTTCATCCCCAGCCGTGCTCAGCTGACATGCCCATAGATGGGCAGAAAGACACCCTTCTGCCACAATACTACTCCTGCAGAGGAGACCTCCTCCAAAACAAGTCTTTTCCTCCCACGATTCAGAAGGTACAAAGAATTCTGCATTTCTTTTGAAAACACATGTTACAGGAATATAAAGGTGCTCCTGTGGTGTGTTCGGTTGCTGTACCCCTCCCTTGACATAAATGAAAGAAATAATTTTATCTATCCTCCATGGGCCTCTTTCAATTCTGGTTTTCTAGACAATTCCTTTCTGATCATCAAAAGCTATTCAGAAAGATTAGTGCAATATATGCTTTTAGAGGTAAACAAATTGTTTTTACTGCTTGCCACTTACTAATGGGAAGCATTATCACTGCATAATTAATGTCTACCTATGATGCTCTTGAGCAGAAAGTTTGTCGAAGCCACCATCTCCGTCTCAAATTTTGTAATACATGAATGTCTAATGTGAAAAATGCATTAAGAATTTGTAACTGCACTGTGCAGTATCTTTTAAGAGGGCTACCAATATTACAATTGCTTATATGAAAACATAAGGGAAATGTTTTAAAAACTCCTAAAAATACATTCTAAAACAACTTCTGTTGGCATGCGACCAGAAATACACACTTCATGTTTATTTACTCTTAATATCTGCCAACATAGTTAAATATTAAGGAAGCAAACAAGGGATTCATTTTCTCATCTCTTTCTCCACTCCTTAAAAAAATTAGTTGATTCCCTGACTTCCAACAATGCATGCCAAGAACAGATAGTATAACCAATCATCTTCTACAAATCATTTTAGATACAGAACCACATCTGTCAAAGAAAGAGTATCTTGGGCTTATGACTGCTCCCTCTCCAGAGATTCTTAACAGATCTATGAAACTGGGAAGGCCCTACAAGTACCAAGTACCCAAACACACAGGACAAAACAAGCAGGCATGGGATAAACACAGTCCTACTCCTATAACAGCACACTTCTTAAAGCTGGAGAGCTAGTGGGCATGCAGGCTACACATGAAAGGTAAGAAGTCAGTAAAATCGAGTTTTGCAGAGAAAATCAGAATGGAAAACAAGCTGGCCTAAGACCATCCCAGTCTTAAAAACATCCTACTTTTGGAGTCTGCATAAGGGGGAGAAGAGCTCACACTGTCTGGGGTAGATTAACAGCCACTGTAAACAAAATACATACTCGGCAGTTTCAGCACACTACCATCCTGAGAAGAGGCTCTATATATCTCTGTGATTCCTACCACGGCATTAACGACTGATGACTACTGAGACAGAGTTATGATGCTGAACCTTGGTAATCTTTGCATATTGTGCGATTATTTAATATCTTGCTTACCCAAACTTATCCCCTACTGCTAGTGCAGTTTAGACGACAGAAATAATACTTCTCCAGCGACTTCGCGTATTATTACCCTCCCTTCAACTATGCAACTTGATGCATCTCAAAGTCCCAAGAAATGTGCAAATAATCCTCAAACGGCATGCTGACACCTCCCGCAATGCCCGTCAGATACGGGCTCGTGGGTTCGCAAAGCACAGCATTATTCAGCAGTAATTAGAGGGCAGCAAGGTGTGGGTAGAAAACGCACCCCCAAAACACGCCGCAGCCCCAGCCGCTGCGGAGGTCACCAGCCCCATCCCCTGCCCGCCGCCCGCCCGGGAGGACCGTAACACTGTCCCGAGAAGTTTCGGAGAGCCCCCGGGGCTGCGGGGCGAGGCCGACGGCTGCAGTCCCCGGCAAGTCGGGCGAAGTCCCGCGCCCGCTGCTCCGCGCCGTGACTCACCAGCCGGGACTGGGCGCGCTGCAGGAACTCCTCCATGGCTCCGGCCGGGCGCAGGGACGGGCAGGAGCTCGGCCGGGCTGCGCACCGCCCGGCGCTGTCCGGCCCGGCGCTGTCCCGCTCGGCGCCCCGGCTGCNCCGCCGCGGGCGCTGACGTCAGCCGTGCCGCAAGGGCCGGCGCGGAGCCCCGCGGAGCGCGCACGGCGCGCCGGGCCGTGGGGAGCGCGGCTGGCTCTCTGACAGGAATTCCTCACCCCAAGGACACGGCGCTCCGCGACCCGCCCCTCGCAGGGGCTCCCAGCGACAGGCACCAGCGGGTGGCTGCTTGGGCTGCGATGTCTCAGTTCCCACTTCACGTTTAGTGGGACTCATCAGTGGAAGGCTCGAGGGCTTTGGGGTCAGAAGCAGTGACTGTTTCGGTGTCCCCCTTCCATGGTGACGAAGGTCTGGAGGGAACCAAGCAGTGGGTTCAAATTGCAAGAGAGCAGGTTAGATCAGATGTTAGGAAAAAACCTCTTCTGAGGGTTGTGAGGCACTGCCCAGGGAAGTTGTGGATGCCCAATGACTGGAGGAGCTCAAGACCAGTTTGGATGGAGCTCTGCGGAACCTGGATAACTGGAAGGTGTCCCTGTCCACTTCAGGGGACTTGGAACTAGATGTCCTTTAAGGTTCCTTCCAACTCAAACCATGCTATGATTCTATTTGTTTCACAGTCAAGCCTCAGTAGATGCTGTCATGTACCTCAAACCTAGGATCATTTATAAATATTGTGCCCACAGTCACATTTTTTATATATATATATTCAATTGCTCACAAGGAGCTCACAAAGGAGCCTTCTAGGCTAGAATCCACTTTGTAGAGAAATAAAAAGAAATGTCAAAGGGTTCAATCCAGTACTATAGAAGTCAATGGGAAGTCATGCAATGAATTTAGAATAGACCAGAAAATAAACTCTAGGGTTTGCAGCATCTCCAGTGCTCTCACACCACTAGTATTCCCCACAGTGTGGGGTTTTTTCCCACTCTAAATAACTAACCTGAATGGTGTGGTTTTATTATTCCAATCAAGTTGTGCCTCACTGAGGAGTGAGTGATGGCTAATTGTTAATAAATTCAGTGCTATGAGATCTGGGATTTTTCTCTCTTGTGTATTTTTTGCAGCTCATTGAAGATATTACTGTAAGAGCTAAAAGCTCTTGCTTCCTTATTAACAAACTTTTTCTTGTAATTTACTCTCATTTGATTTGTTAATTCTTCCATGATATCTTGCAGATCCTGTTACTGAGTTTCCTGCCATAATCAATCTGCTCTGCCTAGTCATATGTTCCAATGGGACATTGTTCTGGGGAACAGAAAAATAAACCTTCATCTGTATCATAACAGTCTAAAATTGGAAGGTAAATCTTCATTAAAATACTTGAGTAGACAAATTGCTTGTAGCGAAATATTCTAAATGACAGTGTTCTACAGGAAAAAGATAATTCTCTTTCATTTACTGGAACATTTCTTCTTCTGAAATGCATTTGTCTGTTTGCACATTAATTTATTCCAGAACTCTATCTGAATTTGGGGTTTCTGGTTGTTCTGTAGAAAAATAGGTCTCCTGAAAAATTATTTTTCAGGTACAACATACTGTCATACTTGTAATTTGAAATTGAAGTGTTACAATGCAGAAATTGCTGTGTAACTTAGGATGCAGAGATGACGTTGACTAAGAGTGTATTGCCAAGTAAGAAAACTAAAGTATATCGCTCACTTCACTAAAGTCTGTGAAACAAAATTAAAAGATACACCTTGCTACATGACCTAAACTGAAGTTTGGGAAACAGCTGCTTAGAAAGGTCATTTTTGGTGCATATGTATTAAAAAAATAAATTTTAAAAGTGCCAGAACAGCAAATAGTAGAATGAAAAAGCTGAACTTGCTAAACAGGCAGGAAAATTGTGTTCTTATGCTTCATACCAAAAAGCACACTCACTCTTATACACTGTAAATAAAATGCATTGACTAATTATTTCTTTGTACATCCACTGAGCGGACCTGTGCGTGTAAATATACCTCTGCATTGTAGTATCCAAGTGGTCCTTCACTGAATCTAGAAAGACCGTGTGGATACTTTGTGATCCATGTGTTGGATTTCAGAGATGGCCTCAGTACAGCTGTGCTGAAAACAAAGGAGTGCACCTGAGCTCCCTGAAAACATTAGGACTAGATAGCTTTTAAAACTGCTTTTTTTGAGTAACTTTTTTGCCTTCATAATTATTGTATGAGTTACATATTGAATAATTAATTATTCATATCCTATTGTGCAAAACCATGGACAGAGTACCAATCTTTGTATCTGTTTAATATTTAATAGAAATTCCTAAGCCTTCTTCTCCTCTTTTCTACCCCACTTCTAGCCACTAATTTACTTCCACTTTACTGAAGGGTAAATTAGAGATGAATCAGGACACAGATTATTTTTTTATCCTCCTACCTAAAGTAGCTAAAACCACTTCACAGTTATCCAGAGGCTCTTCCTAAGGTGTGTTCTTCATTTAACATGTGCAACTCATCTCCTTAATAAATCTGAGGGAATTATGTATGTGTCCCAAATTTGCTCAATCTCTCATTTGTAGAATCAAATTATTGAAAAATAGATTTGCTGATCAATACTGGGGTTTGACTTGTTCATAAGCACATTTGCAGTACATCTTGTCACATTGAAGGGATTTAGGCTGTGAATTGAGAGTTCTGCTTTGTATGTCTTTGTTGTTTTGAAAATGGAAATACAAATAATGTCATACTTCTTCAGAGAGTATAGTTTGGAAGTGAATGCTTCTCTGTTCACATGGTGAAGTTCATTTTTGAATTTCCGCCTTTATTCAAGTATGTGTAAATATATATGATTACTTTGCTCAGTCTTTTTACTGTGTCCTGAAAACCCCTGTAATTCTAGTAATGATGAACAATGTCTTACAGTTCATGTTCTTCTAAAACTCTTCCCATTTTCACTGTGGTCATCCGGGGAAACGTAATTTGCATAATACATAAACTATCCGACTAAAACGTTATATTCTCATACATATTGTGTGCTACCAGATAATACAGACTTTTGCAACATTCCATAGTTTCTGTGGTTCATATCCATTTTATTTATTCTCCAGGCATACAGTTCAGATTGTTCTATTCTAAATAATGGAGAAGCAAAGCCAGTGATTACATATGTCTCAGAGCAACTCAGAACTAAACTCTGTAACTCAGTTTAGCAGTTTTACAGTTTACCAAGGAAATAGAAGAGCTGTCATGATACAGCAATCTAGTGGTCTAGCATTTCTATCAAAATGTATTTGTATGATAAACACTTCAATAATATATTAACAATCATTTTCATGTTAAATGAAAAGGTTTCTATTGCAAGACTTTTTATACTCCCACAATATGAATAAATTGTTCCTGCCTATGGAATGAGAATGTAACGTAATCATTTTCATAACAGCCCAAAAGTAGCTCACAGCTCTCAGCTCTTGTAAGAGGATATTATTTAAAAGTTTGAAAGGAAAAGGTGATTTCACAAATTGCTGCAAGACTAGTTCTCCAGACAGCCACCCAAAGAAACAAAAAAGAGCAAATCTGTGTATAGCAGCAGTAGGCTGACGGTCATTTGCATTGGTACTCAAGTAATTTTACTTTCAGAGTCACTATGATTTCCAGGTATACCTATGAAAGCTACTATTATTTTCTTGAAGAGTTTTACTAATATGTCATGTCCTCAGAATCACCAATTATCCAGTCTTTGGTATCAAGTGTCTTCACTTCCTGTGTTTAGTATTTCCACAGTTTTTCATGTTTCAGTTGCCCTGGTCCCAGGATCACAGAATTGTTTAGTTTGGAAAAGACCCCTTGCATGATCAAGTCCACCTGTTAATCCAGCACCAGTGTGCACCACTAAACTGTGTCCCTAAATGCCACATCGACAAGTCTTTTCTCCAGATTAAACAACCCCAGCTCCCTCAGCCATTTGTCATAGGGCTTGCACTCCAGACTTTTCACCTTCTGTGGATGCTCTCCAACCTGTCAGTGTCCCTCCTGTTGTGAGTGAAGGGCCCGACAGTGGATACAAAGTTTGAGGTGAGACCTCACACGAGTACAGGGGCTGTGCTTTGCTCCCTTTGCTAGTCCTGCTGGCCACACTGTTGCTGATATAGCCAGGATGTCAGTGGCCTTCTTGGTTGTCTGGACTCAGCTGGGTCATGTTCAGCTACTGTCAACCAACAGCCTGTAGCTATATTTTATTAGAAATACTTTTCTAGGATTTTTCCCTCCTGAGAGCTGAGGGCCTCAGGAAAGAAATGTAAACAATAACTCTCTGCTGCTGTGGAATGCCACAGGTGCATCTTCCATTGGTCCATGTGGATTGTTTTCAATCAGTGACCAATCACAGCCGCCTGTGCCGAGGCTGTGAGGAGTCACAGGATTTTGTTATGCATTCTATTCTCTTCTTGTTCTTTGTAGCCTTCTGATCATTCTTTTCTCTCTGTTTTTCAGTATAGTTTTTATGTAGTATTTTAGTGTAATATATAAGATAACAAATCAGCCTCTGAAATGGGGTCAAGCCTCGTGTCTCCACACATGGAGCATTCACCACAACAAACAGCCTCTGGTCCTTTTCTGCTGGGCAGCTTTCTAGGCACTCTGCCCCCAGCCTGTAGCACTCTTTTGTGGTGTTCTGGTGACCCAAGGACAAGACCCGCCACTTTGCCTTTTCGAGCCTCACATCACTGGCCTTGACCCATCAATCCCATCTGCCCAGATCCCTCTGTAGAGCCTTCCTGCCCTCAGCAGATCACTCCCACCCAGCTTGGTGTCGTCTGCAAACTGACTGAGGGGCACTCAGTCAACCCCTCACCCAGATTATTGACAAAGATATATGTAACTGGCCCCACGACTGAGCCCTGGTGAACTTGTGACTAGTTGCCAGTCACCCAGATTATTGACAAAGATATATGTAACTGGCCCCACGACTGAGCCCTGGGGAACTTGTGACTATAAAGACAGACAAAAAGAAACCACATTGAATATCAGGAGACTCTTCTCCAAACATGAACACTGTCCATCAACAATGCATAAAACCTCTGTGCTGTGAATGCCTCGT